TCGGCAGGGGCAAGTTTTAATACCGACAAACACACTGAATAGATCTAAATAAATGAGAAATTCCAAAGTAAAATAGAAACACATTTTTTACTAGGCGTCATCCTCGCCGTCGCCGTCGTATATGCGTAAGGTCCCTAACAACGATGTCAGGACTGATCTAGTGGTTTTAATTTGGCGTTCCCAAGCACCTCCCATATGAGAAGCGTGGGGAACGTTGAAGTTGAATTCGATCCAGTCGCAGTCTTGGGCTGACAGGTATTCCTTTACCGGGGCTGGATCTACTTCACTGAGTGCAGCGGCGAGCTCATTCTTTGCACCGACAAAGTTTGTGCCTTGGTCGGATCTTAGCTCGCGTACTTTCCCTCTACGGTCGATGAAGCGTCTAAGGGCGCTCAGGAAGGAATCTTTTGTCATGGCGCTGAGGCTCTCTAGGTGAATAGCACGTGAGGCGAGGCGGGTAAACATCAGACCCCATCGTTTAAGCTCTTTTCGCCCTTCCTTGATGTAGAAGGGGCCGAATACGTCCATTCCGGTGTAGGTAGACGGAGGAGCTGGAGTGAGGCGTTCCGGAGGAAGGTCTGACATCTTCTGGTCTTGGACGCGGCCTCTCAGCTTGCGACAAATAACGCATTTTGCGATGATGTGGGAAATCATGGAACGGCCATTAATGATGTAATATCCAGCTTGACGGATGGCATTATGTGTCATGCCATATCCTTGATGATGCTGCTTCCCGTGATGAAACTGGCGTATAAGGAGAACAGTAACGTGGCTGTTTTTAGGCATGATCAAGGGATGCTTGATTTCCAAAGGAGAGGCTGAACTCTTTAGGCGTCCACCGACTCTTAGTAGGCCATCTTTATCGACGAATGGGTCGAGCTTGTGAAGGTTGCTGGTCAGCTTGACGGTGTTGTTTCTGTTTCGTGCCTTCTGGCGATCTTCAAATTGGTCTTCGCTGCCGTCAAGATTTCTGAGGATCTTCGTTTCTGATTCAAAGTGGTGGCGTTGAAGGGATTTCAGTATCATGCGTTCGGCTTGGGAGAGCTCTGCTACCAAGGGAGGTCCATCCTTTGGGCGCCAATTCATTTGCTTGTTTGGTCTTAGTTTTTCAATTGCTCTCTGTAGGCGGACGATACATCTTTTGAGACGGTTAAATGAGGAGAAGTGGTTGAAGCCATCGGGTTCCAATACTCCAGGCGAGACTTGTCTGATATTCACTTTATCGATCTTTGTTGCTAGCGTAGATGCTTGATCTTTTCTTACTTCATTATCGGAAGGCAGTAATGTATACACAGGCTGTGATTGAAGAGGAAGGGGGTCTTGTTGCCATAGAAACTGTGGTCCGTTAAACCAGCGGTTGCTTTCCAGCAGTTTCTTTGCAGTTAGGCCACGCGAAGCTTCGTCGGCGGGATTTTCTTTTCCTGGTACATGAAACCAGTCTTCTGGAGAGCTGCGGTCTCGGATATGTTGTACACGGTTGCCAACGTAGACATGAAAGCGTCGTGCGTCATTATTGATGTAACCAATTACGATCTCGGAGTCGGTGTAGTAATAGCACTTGATGGTCTCAATGTCAAGTTCACTCTTGAGCATTGTAGCTACACTGACGGAGATGACGGCGGCTGTCAACTCAAGGCGAGGTATTGAAATTGCTTTAAGCGAGGCGACTCTAGATTTGACCAGGAGGAAGCTAACGTGAACTTCGCCTCTGTGATTGACCATACGCAGATATGAGATTTGACCGATGCCGTTGTCGCTTGCATCTGAGAAGCTGTGGATTTCGGCACGCACTGGTTCACCGAAATTCTTGGGCTTGTGACAGCGGGGAAATGTAAGTTTCTCTAGAAGTGGCAATTCTGTTCGCCATTTTTCCCATTGTGGCAGGATCTCGTCGGGCACTGGGTCATCCCAATTGACGTTTTGACGACAGAGTGCTTGTTGTATTTGTTTACCGACTAATATGACGGGCGATACCGCTCCAAGTGGGTCGTAAACTGAGCTGATAGTGGACAGAATCCCACGGTGGGTTGTAGGTTTGTCTTTGAGCTCGATACGAAATCCAAATGTATCTGACTCGATACACCAGTAAGTGCCAAGGGATATTTGAACAGGCATGGTGTCTCATCGAAGATCTAGATCCTTGAGATCCTTTGCGCGGTCGTTGGCTGGTACAGCCTCTAAGACGTCCTTGCAGTTACTTGCAAACTTGTGTAGACGTAAGTTGTCTTTTGCGCACATTGCTTAGGAGCGTTTGATTAACTGAAGGGCTTGCTCTACTGGGGAGACAGACTTTAAACCATCGTCTACGTAGAAATCTCTGAGTAGGAAGTCTGACGCTTTGTCTCCGAATTCTTGTCTATGAGTTTCTGCTGTTTGATGCAGGCAGAAGTTGGCTACTTCTTGTCTCTGTCGTCTGGGTTGACGTAGAAGCTGTGAAACATTTGCTCGATGTCACAGGTGAGGGCAACTTCTTCCTTTCGGAATCGGGTCAAGACGCCAATCAAGGAATTGAGCTGGTCTGGTCCTTGAAGCAGGTGCTTGTTTAGGGATTGGTTCTCGTAGACGGCGCTGTAGTCGAACACGACGCGGATCTGATCTGGCTTCCGTGGATGATAGACATGGAAGTGTGGGAGATACCACGCCTTGCCCTTTGTTGTCTGCAGCTGGTCTACGGTAACTTGACTGGCATGGCCGTTATCGAGGATCTTTTTCATAAAGGTTAGGTAATCATCTTTTAGCCCTTTGTCATTAAGAAGTCTTCTTTTTAGAGATAAAAGCCTTCTCAAGCAGTGTCCCTTGTTGTCGGGCAGAAGGACATCGTCGGTCTTAAAGGGTAGTGGCGCCTCCCGGTTTCCTTCTGCATTCTTGTGCAGGCCTTTTGTCAGTATTTCGTTGAAGCGTCTGTCCTCCATTGACTTTGATTGCTCTGTTCCTGGAATTCTGCGACTGTGATGGATTTCGTTGTAGTCGAGCTCCATCATCTCACGTAGTTGTTTGGGACTTGTTAAATCTTTCGAGGACATCGAATTCTTGGTCGTGAAGGGGGAAGCTTCAGACATTTCTGTGCAGTCTAAAAGAGTTTCTCTTTCTACAGTAACTCGGTTGACTGAAACCGGGTTGGACGTCGGCTGCTTATCTTTGCAGACGCGCCCGATTACAGTCCAGCGGAATTTGTACTGCTCGGCCCAGGGCTCCTCCTCGTTGCCGGAGATAACGCTTATAGGCTGGAGGGCAGCTGGGACGTTTCGACCGATGAGCAGTCCGATGTCGACGTCGGGTCGGTGGGGAATCTTGTCTGCGATGTAGGACAGGTGTTTCCACTATCTGGCTACATCGGGTGTGGCAATGTCCTCGTGCGATGCTGGAATGTACCCTCTCGAGTAAGCGAATGGGACCTTGATGGGTGTGTAACCTTTTTCTACGTCTTGGATGTAGAGTCCGGTTATTTTTCTTGTTCGTATGGTGTTTGATCCAACGATCGTGTTGACCTGTAGGTCGACCTCTCCAGGTTGTTAAGTAGGGCGTCGGAAATGAATACGTCTGTGGACTGGTCGTCCAACACTGCATAGGTGGTTATTTTCTTAGCAGGATTTGACCGATGCGATGCGTTGACCAGGACGATTCTGGCACACGACCTACCGGTTTCCTTCTCCCCGCAGACTTGCGTGCAAGCTGTAGAGGTACTAATGGTTTGGGACGCTTGGTTTGCGCTTGTTTTCGGTGTTTGCTCGACATGAAGAGCTGTCGAGTGTCTCTTGTGGCAGGTGTTGCAGACTGGGGGAGCTTGGTTGCAATTTTCGGCGCTGTGCTTGTTGGCGCTCATGCATTTGAAACAGAGTTTGTTTTTCTTAAAAAAGTCCTTCCTTTCAGCGAAGGTTAGTTCTCGGAACTTGTTGCATTCGTTCAGATTGTGGGTTTTCGTTCCGTGAAAGAGACACAGTTTATTTGATGTCGGGAGACTTGGGCGTTTTAATTTCTGGTCTGAGAACTCTGGTTTTGTTAGTTCCGAGTGTGAAGGCTCGCTTTCGCCATGTGTTTTTGAAGCCATTGTTGTGGAGAAAGGAGTTTTCTTACCAAGTGGCGGCTTGGGTGGTGGAAGTTTACTACGTGTAGTTTGAGGAGGGACCTTTGTCGAGTTCTGGTTAATCTGAGCTGTGTTCATGCGTTCCGCGTGGAAGGCTACCTCTGCCACGAATTCGACGAAAGTTGGGAACGCATCGCTGCCCTTTTCTTGCTGCAGCGTTTGGACCTTCGTAGACCATTTAGTGGAAAACCAGTTCGGGAGTTTCTCGACTAGGGTTTGCAGCTTGGAGGGAAATTCAAAGATCTTAAGGCTGTGCAGGTGCGTCTTTGCAATTTCGACTTGCTGTAAGAAGTCACTGTATTCTCTTAGGGCTTGAGCGTCGTTGATTGCGATTTTTGGCCAGTTAGCTTGCTTGTTTTCGAAATCGGCGGCTATGATCGCGGGACGACCGAAGCGCGATTTGAGTTTCTTTCTTGCCTCATTGTAGGCAACTTCTGGACTAGCAGCGACCATATACTGCAACTGCTCAACGACTTTCTTAGCCTTTCCACCCAGGTGTTGGTACAGAAGGTACAGTTTCTGCTGGGAGCTGATTGGTGCGGAATCAATCAGAGCATCGAAAGCCGTTTCCCAGATAAAGAATCTGGTGTCGGTTTCGTCGCCTGTGAAGATGTCTGGCTTGGCTTGTGGAGGTCTTTGTAATCGCGTGACTTTCGCCAGGGCCTCGGCGATTTGAGTGGCGTTATCTGTACTCGAATGAACAGGGTTCAAGTTGCGGGTACAAGGACTTGGAGTTATCTCACGGTAGTGGGTGGCTGGAGAACTGTTAGGAGTGAAGATCGTTGCGTCTCTGCTTAATTGATAGGTTCTCGGGTACGCGGGTTTCAAACTACTGATAGTGTACGCTGGATGTTGATAGGTGACGCTTGTGTTCACGTTTCTGAAGGGATATGTTTGGAGTGGAGTGCTTGTGCCCGCGAGTGATGTTGACGTAATAGTCTGACTCGTGATGTTTTGTGTGGAGGCGTGACAAGTACTTGGAGTGCCCACATTATCGAAAGCAGCGGGAGGCTGTGAAGTCGACGGATAATTTTCGTGATCATGAGGGTTTACTGGATTGTTTATTTCAGGGTATAGGTTAGCCTGGTGTCCTGTACCCAAATCGAGAATGGATTGATTTCCTGAGGCTGTTGTTTGATGAAGGTCGGCTATGTTAGCTTCTGGTTGTTGGTTTGCGCTCGATTGACGATTTACCGGATGAATTATGCCAGTGGGGGAGTATATGGCTGGGAAAGTTGGATCTTGTGTGTCAGCACCGGAAGTGTTTATAATCGGCGGTAATAGGTTTGATGCCGTAAGATGAGCTGGATCGACGTCTTTGTGGTTCATTAACCGATCAAACTTCTGTTCGGGCGTTTCATTTGGCAATTCTATTTTGTGGTGTTCGAGCGGAAGTTCTTCAAATTTCAGCGCCTCCTCGTAAACGGCTTCTTCTGCTAAGGTTTCGCTTAATTCTTGTTGAAGTTTGAGTTTATTCAAGATCTCTCGCTGTTCTTCGATTTCGTCGCTGAATTTTAATTTTCGTTCGAGTGCGGCACGTCTTGCCTTAACGTCAATCAAAGTTTCTTTTGAAGAACGCCGGGATAAACCGGACGCAGATGACATTTTTGACTTGTTAGACCTGCGTGACTTGCATGACGCGCCAGATCGAACGGATACGGCTCGCTCGCTTGCAAGTTCTGCTTGTGCAGTGTTCTTTACTAAATCCAACCAACTAAGCAGTTCATGTTCGGTTTTTTCGGCGAGCGCAATTAAATCTTTGACCTTTCCGTCTATTTGATCTGATTCTTTTGTAATGGCCAGGAATGCGTGGAACGCGGTGACGTTAGTGTGAAAAATCTTGAATGCGGCCCTTGCGGATTTTTCTTCTACCGCGAACGGAACTCAAAACCCTTTTCGGTCATAGTCCGAAAACGTGTTTCCGATTCTTCGCCCTTTTCTGGAATTTCTGTACCTCCCGCTTCGCTCTCGGCGATATCGGTAGTGTGTTCCCAGGTTTCGCTGAAACCAGTATCGAGAGTTTCGTCTGGCGGAGCGTTGGTTTTTGCACTTTGCTCGCTGTTTTGCGATCGGCTCATGGTCAGTTAGAGGTTCGACAGAATAAAGCAATGAGACACAGACAATCTTTGTTTCTTCTACAATTCTGTTTCTACCAGTAACTAACTTCTAACTTAAATGTAACCAACGTTATTTTCCGTGTGGGCTGCAAGTGCTTCTTTTACTTCGTTGATGAGAGATTTCAACTATTTAAATCTCCTTCGTCAAGGAGAATTCGCGTTTTTCTTGAAGATCAATAGTCCTTCATTCTTCTTCTCCGGAGCACGTGCTCTCTTGTACTTCTTCGTTTTTTCTTCTTTTTTGCTTTTTGTTTATGATAAATAAAAGGAACGGACTTACTTGTGTCCTCGGTTGACTGGTCAACTGTTTCAGGGGCTGGACTTTTCTTTTCGCTCGGCTGAGCGCACTTGTCTTTGTGGACTTGAAGGGGAGTGCGACTTGCTGAATGCTGGATGACAGAAATTCGACTGTAGCGGCGTCAGCTCCGATAGCGGAGAGATCCTTGAAACTAAAAGACTAAAGACTCACAGGTTCCACAAGGCTCAGGTTTATTGTGCCAACTGTTACAGCGATCCTGTATGGTAGGACGTGTTGGGGCGAACGCTCTAGTAGGTTCTGAGTTGTACAGCAATAACTGGTGGTTCCCGTCGAATTTCTCTGAGCCTTATGGTTTTTTAACATGTGCTGGCGATATTAAGCTAAAGTTACGTGGTAGCTAGCGGAAAATCATTGTGACGTAAATGCGGTAAAAAAGGGAAATACATAAAATTCTACGAAATGAAAACGAGGCACGCGGGTGCCGTTACAGTTCTTTATCTGTGAAATCATCGATTATGACAGATTTTGTGGAAGGCCACTTTCTTGCAACATTTCTTGACTTTGCTGTGCACTGAAAAACAACTTGGTTATTAAAGCCGCGGTTAGCGAGGTGGATAAAATTTAACTTAACACTAGGGTCAGCCTTAATCTAGCTTCAGACAACGGAACTAAATTGCGGTTAAATTTTAACCCCAAGTTGGCTAATTTAGATCTAACCTGAAGTTTTGACTTAACCTTTTTTTTTTTTTGATCAACCAGACCCTGGGAGGAGGGGTTAACAAACCTTATGAGAGTAACATTTCCTGCTTCAAAGAGAACATTGGGCAAATGCACATCTTAAATGGACAGCTGTTACGCGATACTAAAACAATACCTTTGCATTTTCAGCCTCTTCCCTGTAGTCACTGAAAAACACTTCATCGTAACTGTAAGCAAGTTTGAACTTCGTAACCCATAAATACCACCCGTGCGAATTTCCCTGGATGGCCACACCAGTCACCTTGGTCCAATTTACAAAATCTACTTGAAACCATTGCCTCGCGCCATTTCCTTCAGCTATCCAGCTTCCTTGTTGGTAAAGCCGACCCTGGCTAGCTCTATAGGTAGCTGAATGTCTGCTTGAAGCCGTTATGGACGAATCAGGGATTTCGTTATTTTCTAATCCGAGGCTTGCCATGCATGTAGGAGGCTTAGCAGTCGCAAAATCTGAGTGGAAAGATTTACGATTTGAAATTTTAATTCTACAAAGGCTTTCCCTGGGCCGTCGGCACACACGCATAAATGTTTTCACGAATAGCAGAAAATAGCGCCCCCTGCTACAGAAACTAACTTTGCAAAAGAACTTAACTACACGTACCGACTCACAAAACTAAACCAGAGGTGAAATCACCGTAATGATTGGATTTAGCGCCCTATAGCTCCCAATACGTGCCCCGTTTCTGAATAGCGACCCCTCTCAAGTGTTTTTTTTTTTTTCTTTAAAGCACCAATTCCAACAAGCGGGCCCTCCTAATAAGGGTCAAGACATTGATATAGAATAGAGTGATTAGAATAAACTATGAAGTCTGCTTCTTATCTGAACATAAGAGTAAATATGATGACTATCAGAGACCCTAGAGTTACAGTTCCATTAATTTAAAGTATCTGTCATTTATCATTGTAGTATTACATCGCATTCAGATGTATATGTTCAAAAGGAAATAACCGCCACGTCTCCGTAAATTGGATCATTACAATATTGGCCCCAGTTGTTCGAAAGCCAATTAACGCTAACCCACGATTAAATCGTCCTAATCCACGGAATAAATTTATCCTTCGATTAAATTCTGTTCCCCGAAGCTCGATTAGCACTATCCAAGGATTAAACTAAGGGTTAAATTTTACACACCTACCGAGGTGGATTAACTCGCTAATCGGATGAAAAAGCGGACAAAGAAATCAAAATGGCGGACTTACAGTTTGTTGATTTTGCTTTAATGCCGGGCCCGATAAGAAAAGAAAAGCAATACGGGCTACCTGACGACTTTTCTAACATAGAGGTTACTATTTTCATATCGGCGAGCCATCCCGCGTCCGGTTTTCCCGCGGTTTTTCGAGTTTTCACAACAAGGACGGACCGCTGTTCGGCGATCCCCAAAATATTTTACACGACGAGCGCGAAGCAAGAAATTTAAACATTTCCATTTCCGCTCTTACAGGGATCTCAGATGAGAGGTAGAAATCGTCGTTCACTAGCCGCTGTAATGTAAAAGGAAAGATCAGTGGTGGAATTAAAGGTTTTTTGCTTGATAAAAGCGAGTATTTTTTGGACTCTCGAACTTGCCTGTTCTTCAAAAAGTTGTTTATCTCATTCGGGAGAAGTAAGTTAATCATTCTCCGCTTTCTCAGCTTTGCCTAGTTTATGGCTGTCCCCCAGCCAAACTTATAATTAACTCGTTAGCCCATCCGAATTGAGGCTATTGTGAAGGAAAGAGAATTAAGGCTGAAAATTAGACCGGTAAGCGTTACTTTTCAAGAGCTCACTGATTTTCTGGCTGATGCGTGATTCAGTGAGCTTCGCTCGGCGTTTATCTTGCACAGATTTTTTATCACAACTCTTATTTTAATTGAAAAGCATTTTTATTGTTTCTTATAGAAAGCAAATGTAGCTGAGATATAAAATTTGGGCTTTCTTTTTCTTCTTTTTATTCAAGTTAAAGTTCGTACAAATTTTGTAGGAGTCGTCATAATTATCCCTCCCCTCCCCTAGTGCTACACCATTTTCTCCCGCGAGAGACCGGTTTTACCGTCTTAATCTGACCTTAATCGACGGATAGTTAATAGGTTAAATATGATTCCGGGAACACCATTTTATCCCCTGATTAGTTATCCCGGGAATAAAAAAATTAATCTCGGAATAAGCGCTAACCACGGGTTATTTTAATCGGCTTTCGAACCGGGGCAGGTCATAAGCTCGTGGTGGTCTCTATCGATACACGGAAGACGCCAAATCGAACCTCAGGGCCCATATCAAGCCGCTTGACATCGTGTCGTGAAGAATCTGCTGTTCTTGTAACGTTTTGACATTAAGACTTGAATATAAGTTAGGGAGTCTGATTTGAAGTCATCCAAAGCAGGCCCAGATGCAGGTATTCTTACCTGAATAGCAGCCATACAATTCCAACCTCATCGATATGTGTCTACGCCATTTGGTTGGGTGAATGCGGACGTAACGAGCTAGAATTGGCTCATCTAATGTATTGACGACAAGATTTGTACCGTCTTTGTTGGCGTTATATTCCTAAAATTAGAAACGATCATTTGTTGACGTGTAGCTGAAAAAAGGGTGATTAACAAACACAAGTAAGCCCATAGGTGGCTTCGTGGCTGAAAGGGCTAGCGCTAAACCCAGGTCCTGTATCCCGAGGTGACCAGCGTTATTACAATCCCCGGCGAACTCCACCAGTTACCCCACCGCTGGGACAAGAACGGAGAAGATTGACGAATGGCGAAAGTGTAGTTTTTTGGTGATAGCAACACTACTCATAAAGTACCTGGATTTTTCTTGATGAGGTTTTCACATTTATCCAATGATGGTTTGGCTAATTTCCACTCACTCTTTTGTCTTAAGAGACTATGATCATATCATATTCTTTTGTCTGTCTACAATAAAATGAAATTTTAAGCTTACCCTACGAACGTCGCTTGATTTATGAATTTGATTCTCAAAGTATCCCCCGTTAACACTGTGAGAGACAGTGTACTTGGACACCCACTGACGATACTTCCAGTGATACTTCCAATAATAGCTACCCTGAGTTCCGATTTTGGTTACTTTTGCGATCTTCCCAAGATCCACCTGGATCCACTGCCCTTTGTTACTCTCCTTGGCTATATAGGTGGTGCGATGGTTGAGCCTTCCTTTACTGGGTCCAAAATCAGAGCTCCACTGCCAAGAAGAATAACGTGACGCTGGCTAAATCCTCCGTAGGAAAACAGATGACGGCTGTACTTTTTACTACAATACCTTGCGAACCTAACAAAGCCTATTAGGCACAAGGAAAGCCATCTTTTTGCACTATTCATTCCCGAAATAGCGACATTGTGTATGCTAGTTTTGAAGATTTTAAATTTTTTTTACGTTTTTATGAGCGTTGTTAGGGCTTTAGTGCGCTTCGAATTATGGGTAAATGTACCAGACGCCTTCTGTTTTTTTTTTTTTTTTTACGGAGGATTGCACTTCTCTTCACAAGTTGATTTAAATTTGTTGCTCCCAAGTTTCTTTTTCCAATAACGATAAGTAATTCCCAATTGCAAACTACTTGCATTTATTGAAGACTTAAATATTTTTTGTTGTACCTCCGAACTCAAATATGTTTTCCGATTGGAGGATAACATGTCACGTGTCATGGAAAAAAACTCCTTAGGGCGAACAAATCTCACTTATTCCCCAGGGAAACAACAGCTTTTGACTCGCCCGTGATCAGGTGGTAAGCCTTAAAAACGCGGCAAATTTGTTTGAGAGTCGGCGTCAAGCAAATATTTTTTCGAAGTTTACTCTATTTTCAGTGAATTTTTAAGTGTTAAGTGTGACAAAACACTTAATGACTGGCGCCACAAGAAACACTGAGTCTTGTTTCCCCAAGACCCTCAATGCTCATCTTGGGGAAGAAAGAATTCTTTCCCTTGGGACCAGTTAAGTGCTTATTGATCTTCAACTCACACTCAGTTTTAATTAGTAAAACAATTGTTAACATTGTTAACATTTAGTAGATCTAGGCCTGTAGACTGTATGTTCTGCAAGCAATGGGAGTATTGAATTGTAAGTAGAGTATTGTACTGTTCCTAGTTTTCCAAATTGAAATAAAAACCCATTTACCAAACCGATACGAGGCTTATTTCACTAACGCTGTACCAGTGCGGCGTGGTACGGCATGGTGTTTTTTACCAAATAACATCTTACTGTTTGCCTTAGCAACACGTGATATGTTAGGATACAGTATAGCATGGAATAGTTTTCTTTGGTATTGCTATTTAGATACCTCACTTGAAGCTTTTAATGCGGAGTCTGGAATGGTTCCATCTTCCATTCCCATCGGTGAGCCACAATCTAATATATTAGACAAAAATTGTCCATTTATAAAAGTTGCTTTTTTGTGTCATGATGAAGAGTATAATACCTAAATATAATGTGAAATGGCAGCTTAAATATACAATCGTCGCAACAATGGAATTTCATTAATCAACAACAGTAGAATTGATACCTAGAGAACTGATGCTTTCAGCTTTAAAATAACCACCGAATAG